TAAAAAGTTAAAGGACTAAAAACATCAAGTTAGTGTTGGAGGGGGGTAGTGAATGACTGATTTAATAAAGACCTGAAAAGAGATTCAAGAAATGAAAATGCATTGCGATTAAAAACTAATGACAAGTGCTACTTTCCTCAGTTATCTGCCTTTAGATATTTTGACTTTATCTTTTCACTGTCTATTCTCTCCAGAACAGGAACATTTTAGGAGGATAACCCAGGACAAAATAGCTCTGCTGCCATAGATCTGAGTCTCAGTGGACAGGGTATATGACTTGTGGATGATTGTAGCCCCTAGTTGAAAGTGGGAATAGAAGTGATTAAGGGCTGTGAAAAGGGGCTTTTATGGAACTTTGAGAGAAGCCAAGTTTGCAGTGATCATTTGGAGATGGAGCAGGACTCCGGAATAGAGGAAATTCCAAGGAAGGTGCTAGGAAAACTTATATGTTCATGAAGCAGGGAATGGGGTGAGGTTGGAGGGGTTCTTTGCAAATTGAGCTGACAGTTATCATGTCTCATTCAAAACCCATGTGTTAGGGTTGCCACTGAATGGGGAGGGACGTATCCTTTCCCCAGGCGTTGGGCCTGGTGAAATGGCAGCGGAATTCCTTCCCCACTGAAGCAGTTAAGTGCCGAGCCTTTTTGTTCCTTTATTCCCTCCTCGCTTTATGATATTAGTGAGGAGAGTAGGGACTGGAGTGGTGACTGAGTTCCTTTTAGCAAACCCTTTGGTGGGTACTTTTGGTGACAGACTGACAATTTTGTTTTATTTTCTTTGTGGATGTCCACATATTTGCCCCTCTTACCTATATACCTAGCCCTCCAAGACTTGTATGGTCAGTTGGAAGTGTTCATCTGGTTTGTGTTCATTCATCTCTTATTTCTGGAGCAGGGACTGAGACCTGGCCACATGTCTTTTGCATCCCTTCCTCCTTTGGACTATTTATTTGTTTGTTCGTTTGTTTGTTTGACAGAGAGAGAGACACAGCGAGAGAGGGAACACAAGCAGCGGGGAGTGGGAGAGGGAGAAGCAGGCTTCCCGCTGAGCAGGGAGCCCGATACAGGGCTAGATCCCAATCATCACCTGAGCCGAAGGCAGACGCTTAACAACTGAGCCACCCAGGTGTCTCGTCCTTTGGACTTTAAAGTTTGATTAATTAAAAAAAAATTTTAAAAGAGGTAATAAGCAGTTTAGATATAATGACTCAAGAGAGACTTAGTGAACAAGAAGGTAGATCTGAGAACATTGCCCAGAAGGTATAAGAAATGGAAAATGAGAGAGAAGTTAAGATAGGAAGGATAGAGTAAGGTTGTGCGCGTGCACACACACATACACACACCCTCACACATAACACATAAATCTTACAAAGAAGAGAAAGGGAAATAGGAGGAGGCAATTTTCAAAGAAATAATAATTGAGAATTCTCTGACTTGAAGACAAATATTTGAAACTTTTGGCTGAGAAACACAGCCCCATTATATATACATAAAACTAGGTGCATGGTACTGAAAGTGCAGAACACAATTAAAAAAAAGAAAGTCTTTGGAACAACTAGAGAGAAAATACAGATAAATTTACAAAGGAGAACATTTATACTGACAGCTGCAGTAGACACCAGAACACCACAAAACAGTATCTTGAAAATGCTGGAAGAAAAATAAGCCAGCCTGGAATTCTACATCCATCTAAACTATCATTCAAGAGTGATGATGAAGTAAATATTTCAAACAACCTAGGATTATACCACTAATGGAACGTTTATTGAAAGAATTTTGAAAAATATATTTCACAGAAGAAGAAAAATGAACCCAGATAAAGAGAATAAGGAGCGGCGAACAAAAATGGAAAGGCGAACAAAAAGATATGTGGGTATATATAAGTAAGCATATACTGTTAAATAACAATTATAATGTTATCTTAAGGAGCAATAGGATAAGAGGGAGCTAAAGTATTAGGGAAATAATATATAAGATGGGGAGGGATGATGAGAATAGTGTTTTTTAGTGGTATGTAAATTTATAATAAATTTTTAAAAATTAATATATACAGCTTAGGAAAAAGTTGAACAGATGATACAGTCTCCATATCATTACAAATTATATGCCTTTAATTAAAATTCTTGATAATATTCTGATAGTTTTAGTTGGCTTATGCTGTAATTTCTACATAATAAAAATAAAAGTCTTCTTATTGGAAAAACAAATAATTAAGATAATTTAGAAAATAAAGTTGAGGAAGGTGTTACAGGAAGTGGTTCTGCCAAGAATGAATTATTTTAAAACTATAACAATTAAGAAAATGTGGTATTAGTGCAGAATAGACAGACCATTGGAATAGAATATAGAATCCAGAAATAGAATTACACTTATATGGGAAGGATGGATTGTTCATCAAATGGTATTAGGTTATTGGTTGATATAGAAAAAAACAGCCAATCCTTCTTTTATCCAACCAAATAAATTCCTCAACGGATAAATTCCCAAGTATGGCAAACAGAACGTTTATATTTTAAAAAGGAAAAGAAAAGGTATGGCCTCAGTGTCTGGAAGAATTACTGAATAGATAAAGCCCACCTACCATAAAGTAAAAGATTAATTGAACTACAGTGAAATAAAAATATCAAAATCAAAAGACATCATAAGCAAGGTGGATACACAAACCACAAATTGAGAAAACATTTGTAACATAAAATTAATAAAGGATTTGTATCCAGAATATATTGAGAACTTCTACAAAAAAGGAAAACAACAAATGATAAGATTAGGCATCTCACTGAAGAAGAATCTCAAGTAGCCTGCAAAGAAAACAAAAACTTTTTTTCATTCTTGCCTCTAAAAATGTAAATTAAGCAACAGGATATGAGTTTATACCCATCACATTGATAAAAAGTTAATGTCTGATAATACCAATTACTGGTGACCCTGTGTAGCAATGGAAACCTTCATACAATGCTATTAAGAGAGTACATTGGTATAGTCCCCTTGAAAAGCAGTTTGTTGATAGCTATGAAAATTGAAGGTGTGGGGCGCCTGGGTGGCTCAGTCGGTCAAGCGTCTGCCTTCAGCTCAGGTCATGATCTCAGGGTCCTGGGATTGAGCCCCACATTGGGCTCCCTGCTCAGCGGGGAGCCTGCTTCTCCCTCTCCCATTCCTCCTGCTTGTGCTCGCTCTCTGTCAAATAAATAAAATCTTAAAAAAAAAAAAGAAAAATTGAAGGTGCCTTTTTCTTATGATTCAGTAATTCTCAACATGATAATAGATGTTCTTTTTTTTTTTTATGCCTCATATCTCTTTTGAAGGCTAGAGTAGTGTTTTAAGTCTATACAGTAAAATACATAGGATTATAATGGAAACTAATTATACTAAAATAGTTATAAAAATTTTAAAATTTATGATATAGTATGCATTGTTAGTGTATACTAATCAGATCAACTGAAAGATCTAATAACTGTCAATTTCAAAGTAATGATTAATGTAAATGTTATTTTGAGACAATCTATAACCACTGTTATGTGATATCAAAATATCTAGGGCTGTTGGTGACAAAAATCACAAGGATTACTGAATACTCTCAGGTATATATATTCATAATTGATGTATGGGCTTATTTCTAGACTTCCAATGCTATTCCTTTGATCTACATATCTATCCTCGTGCCAGTACCACACTGTTTTGATTACTGTAGCTTTGTAATAAGAACCTGTGTCCTAGAGACACATTTAAATGTATATCCAAGGAGATTAATAGTGTAACACCACTACAGTATTATAGTAGCAAAAAATGGGGAATAGCCTAAAGATTAATCAGTAGGAGATGATATAAATTGTGATATATTTAGGTAACAGGTAACTGTGTAACAGTGATGATGAATAAAATCAAGTTATAATAATATGGTAGATACCTTGTAGTGTCTCCTTATATATCATCACAGGTGATCTCAAACAGTACCGAGTGAAAAAAACAAGCTTTCCGAGTGAAAAAAAAAAGCTTTCAAAGAAAACATACTCTATAACATCATTTTATGAAATTTAAACATTTTAACCAAAGCGTAAAAACCTATATGGCAGTGGTATGTCCAAATTCAGTCTAGTAGTTACTCAAGGGTAAGGAGTAGTGATGGGAAGGACAATCTTGTTACATAGGGGGCTTTTAATTACGTCTATAATGTTTATTTAACTGTGATGGACACATTGTATGCCTGGAATCTTTTGTTAAAATATTGCATGATTTGACAGAATATTAATAAGACAGAGATAGTTTCAATTTTAATATACAGAATAATTTGGAGTTTGTGTATATGGGACCTTGTCAAGGGAAGATCAGCAAATTAAGTGCTTTCCCCCAGTTCATCTCAGAGAAGTGAATTAACCTAAGAATTGCCAGGTGCTTTAAACATGATGAAAGCATACCTAGTAGATTATTTAATATATTCATAAAGAAAATTCTAATCAAAGCAAAGACAGAACTAGAATTTATATTTAGATCTTTGCCTCCAAAATCTCATACTTGTTCCATGTTGTTAAATTGCATATATTGCATAGCAATAAATGGTATATTTTAGAAGTGGTAAGTTAACTGTACCCACAAAATGATACTGTATCTGAGGCACATGTTAACATAAAGACATTGAAATAATCTCAAGCATGACATTATAATCCAGTTTTCTTAAATATACTTTAGATTGTTCTCACGCTCATGAAAGGCTGAAGAAATTATTAGTAACTTTAATGTTACAGCATTCCTGGTTTATTGATCATTATAATTTAGTATACGTTTGGCATTTGAATTTATTATTGTGGAGTTTTTTCTATTTGAACTATTTTATTTAAGTATAATTAGCAGATAGTGCTATATTAGTTTCAGGTGTGCAGTATGATTCAACAGTTCTATACATTTCTCAGGGTACATCAAGATAAGTGTATTTTTAACAGCATTTAAATTTGTGTGACTTGGTGTTCTGTTATTTTAAACCACATTCTGTTTTGGTTTTGATTTTAGGATCGAAAATTAACAAAGTCTGAGAGGCAGAGATTTAAAGAAGAGGCTGAAATGTTAAAGGGCCTTCAGCATCCCAATATTGTTCGATTCTATGATTCCTGGGAGTCCACAGTAAAAGGAAAGAAGTGCATTGTTTTGGTGACTGAACTTATGACATCTGGAACACTTAAAACGTAAGTCTATTGATGTTATAAAAGTTGACCAAGAAGTTTGAAAGACCTTGAATTGTCTCATGTCATATTTTATCAGTCCTGCTTTTGTTGCCCAGCATACCAAGAAGGGAACAATCCCTCCAATTCTTGGTAGCACATTTTCCTGCCCACTAAGTCCTCTGGTGCATAAAGTGATTTGATAATTATTTAATGGTAATATTAAAATAAGTTATTACAGAATAAACCTAGTTCTTTTAAATCATGTTGCTTTGCAGTTCTAAAATTGAGTGGCTAAGGGATCATGAACTCATATGACAATGTAGCCCTCTAGTGGTTAAAATGAGGTTGAAGCTTATTTGAGAAGCTTTCTCCATTTACTTTACCACTGTGTATTGGATAGTTTTTGCCACATCTATGCAACTGTTACGTCACATTGAAATTGTACTGACAGTTATTACTAGATAAATCCATTTGCCATAGTATCAGAAATTAAAGCCGAAATAGCCAGACTCGTCGTTTCTTTCAGGAGAACAGGTCAAATGCAGAAATTTCTTGTTCTCCATTTGAACAGTTCCCAACAAGGAATTCCCTTTCCCTAAAAGAGTTTTAAAGTAAGAATGGGAGTTTGCCTTTGAAATCCCAGGTCTCTCAGATTACCTGTACTCAGAGAGGAAACTACGGTCGACCCTTGAACAACGTGGGGGTTAGGGGCAATTGACCCTCCATCTAGTTGAAAATCCAAGTATAACTTTTGAATCCCTCAAACTTACTTAGTAGCCTATTGTTGACTGGAAGCCTTACTGATAACATAAATGGTTGATTAACATGTATTTGTATATTATATGTATTATATACTGTATTCTTATAATAAAGTAAGCTAGAGAAATAAAATTATGAGAAAATACATTTGCAGTACTATACTGTAAAAAGTCTGCATGTAAGTAAACCCAGACAGTTCAAACCTGTGTTGTTCAAGGGTCAAATGTAGTATAAATTATATGGTTTAAATTTTCTATTGTGGAGGAATTGGACTTTTAAAAATTGTCTCTTTAGTATGTATTCATTCCTTACTACTTTCTTTAATTAATACTACTGAGCTAATTCATCTCAAATCTTTGAAACAGTTTTGTATCTCCTGGATGTAATGACTTGCATGTGCTCTTGGACGCTCAAGATTAACACATTGAAAAGCCAACGGATTATTTCCCTCCTGCAAATTCTAGTTTCCCCACCTAGCTTCTCCAATATTTATGGCAACACCTTTATCCTAGTCATCCAAGCTGATTGCTATATGTCTGTTTCTTCCATTAGATTGTGATCTCTAGCACTATGCCTGAAATTTAGTAAGTATTTGAATGAATTAAGGAAAATTGTGCGGTAGTAGTTGTGTATATCTGTACCTTGAGATTCTTTTCACCAGTTTGGATACTTTAGTGGACTGTCAATAATCTGTCAGGCATACCCTACAAGAATACCCTGTGACAGTTTATTTGTTTTAAAAAGTTTGAGGGACTTTGGGTAACATAGTAGGCTAAGCCTCTGTGGAATTGTCCCTTAATTTGTGGAGCACACAACTCTTGATCCTCGGGATCATGAGTTCTAGCCCCATGTTGGGTGTAGGGATTACTTAAAAAAAAAAAAAAAAAAGCTCAGGTGTAATTAGAAAAGATTCAAAGAACTTTTAGAAATAAGAATAAATACTTAAAATTAAAACTTCATTGATTAGGTTAAACAGCAGACTAAATTGAACTGAAAAGAATAAATATGAAGATCAGAAAGCAAAAAGAACATAAGACATGGAGTGAGAAGACATTAGATTTAATTATCATTCTAGGAGGAAAGAATCAAGAGAAAGACTTGATGTGTATATAGTTCTAAGCAAATAGATTTATTTTAAAAAAAGATTTTTAAAATTTATTTGACAGAGAGCACAAGCAGGGGGAGTGGCAGGCAGAGAGAGAAGCAGGCTCCCTGCTGAGGAGGGAGCCCGATGCGCTGGATCCCAGGACCCCAGGATCATGACCTGAGCCGAAGGCAGACGCTTAACCAACTGAGCCACCCAGGCACCCCCCGCCCCAGCAAATAGATTTAAAACAAATCCATATTCTCATATAGTTATATATGACTTTTATACAGCCATTAAAGCAAGTCCTATAAGCTGCTTCTTGTTAATACTTTGTTAGCAGTTCAAATGAGTAGCAGGACATTAAGTTGTTTTTCTTCACAGTACTTAATAAAGTTGACTGTAACAAACAAAGAACCAAATCCATATTCATACCTGGAAGAACACAGAATAATTAGGAATATTGGTAGCATTTAGAGAGGCAAATGGAGCGAAAGGGATGGGAATTGGTTCCAACATACATGCTTTTTGGACTTTTTAAGTTTCTACCTTTGTTCCACATATTTATTAATACTTAAATTGAAACAAATAAACACCCATACCTGAAAAATAATATGGGTTAGAAAATTTGATTCAGGAAATATAAATAAAGCTAGATTTTTTTTAATTGAGATGAAATTCACAGAACATAAAATTAACATTTTTATTTATTTTTATTTTTTTGAAGATTTTATTTATTTATTTAACAGAGAGAGAGCAAGAGCAGGAACACAAGCAGGGGGAGTGGGAAAGGGAGAAGCAGGCTTCCTGCCAATCAGGGAGCCCAATGTGGGACTTGATCCCAGGATCCTGGGATCATGACCTGAGCCGAAGGCAGACGCCTAACTTCTGAGCCACCCAGGCGCCCTAAAATTAACATTTTTAAAGTGTACGATTCAGTGGCATTTTGTACCTATACAATGTTGTATGACCACTATGTGATCTCTCAAGTTCTTAAACATTTTCATCACCTCAAAGGAACACTGTACTCATTAAGTAGTTATTCTCCATTTTCCTTCCCATGCAGTGTATTTACTCTTTAATTGCCCACCATCTAAGTTCTTGGCATTTTTCTTTCTAAGCTTAAAGTTCTCTTTTCCCATCATTTCTGTTGGCCTCAGAGCTAAGGGAACAAGAGAGTTAATAGAAAGAGCACTAGGGCACCTGGGTGGCTCAGATGGTTAAGCGTCTGTCTTCAGCTCAGGTCATGATCCCAGGGTCCTGGGATCGAGTCCCACATCGGGCTCCCTGCTCAGCACGGAGCCTGCTTCTCCCTCTCCCTCTGCCCGCTGCTTCCCCTGCTTGTACACTCTCTCTCTCTATCAAAAATAAATAAAATCTTAAAAAAAAAAAAATAGAGCACTAGACAGAGTAGGAGTGATGAGTTCTACTCCTAGCTCTGCTTCTGCCCAACTGTGATTTGGGGCAAAAAGCTCCCCATATCTGGGCCTCAGTTCTCCATGTGCAAGATGAGGAATTGTACTGACCTCTAGGATTTATAGATAGGAATTTTTTCTGTGATAAAAAACAGCAGGGCATCTGGGTGGCTCAGCCAGTTAAGTGTCTGCCTTCGGCTCAGGTCATTATCTCAGGATCCTGGGATCCCTGTCAGGCTTCCTGCTCAGCGGGGAGTCTGCTTCTTTCTCCCTCTCCCTCCGCCCCTCCACCAACTTGGGTTGTCTCTCTCGCGCTCTCTCTCTCTCAAACAGAATCTTAAAAAGAAAAACATATAAAATTTGCCATCTTAGTCATTTTTAAGTGTGTAGCTCAGTAATATTAAGTATATTGACATTGTTGTGCAACCATTTTTCAGCACTCTTCAGTCCTACAAACTGAAACACATTAAACAACTCCCCATTTCCCCCTTATCCCAGCCCTTGGCAACCACTAACTGGTTTTTGTCTCTGGTTTTATCTGATCAAGATATTTCATATAATTGGAGTCATAAAATAATGTGGCCTTTTGTGTTTGACTTTCACTTAGCATAATGTTTTCAAGGTTCATGATGTTGCACATATTAGTACTTCATTCCTTTTTATGACCACATAATATTTTGTTTCATGGATGTACCACAACCATTCCTTTGTTTATAGACATTTGATTTGTTTCCACCTTTTGGTTATCATTAGTAGTCCTGCTGTAAATATTTGTGTATAAGATTTTGAGTATATATTTTCATTTCTTTTGGATGTATGCCTACAAGTGGAATTGCTAAGTCATGGTAATTCTATGTTTAACTCTTTGAGGAACCACCAAACGGTTTTCCACAGTGACTGAACCATTTTACATTCCCACCAACAATCTGTGAGTTTCAGTTTCTCCACATCCTTGCCAACACTTGTTTATTATTTTCATAGCCATCCTACCAAGTGTGACATAGTATCTCATTGTGGGTTTTGATTTGCATTTTCCTAGTGTCTAATGATGTTGAGCATCTTGTCATGTGCATGTTGGTCATTTATCTATCTTTGGAGAAATGTCTGTTCCATCATGTCTTTTGGACAAATCTCTGTTCAAGTTCTTTGCCCATTTTTAATTTTTTTTATTATTGTTGAGTTGTAAGAGTTCTTTATATATTCTGTAAGCCTTTCTCAGATACATGATTTGCAAATACTGTCTCCCATTCTGTAGGTTGTCTTTTTACTTCCTTGATAATGTCCTGTGATGTATAAAGTTTTTAATGTTGATGAAGTCCAATTTACTTGTTTTTTCTTGTTGCTAGTACTTTTGGTGTTGTATCTAAGAATCTATTGCCAAAACCAAGATTGCACAGATTTACCCGTAAGTTTTCTTCTAAAACTTCTACAGGTTTGTCTCTTATATTTACATTTGTTTCAGTTTGAGTAAACTTTTATGTATGTGTGAGGTATGGGACCCAACTTCATTCTATTGCATAGGGACGTCCAGTTACCCAGCATTGTTTGTTGAAGGGACTGTTCTATCCCTATTGATTGGTCTTGGTACCTTTGTCAAAAATCATTTAACCATAGATGTATGGGTTTATTTCTGGACTCTTGATACTATGCTGTTAGTCTGTATATCTGTCCCTAGCCAGTACCACGCTATTTTGATTACTGTAGCTTTGTAATATGTTTTCAAATTGGGAAGTGTGTGTTCTCCAATTTTGTTTTCTTTTTCA